ATATATATTGATGAGCAATGGGTCTCCAAGGCTCATTTTATTGGGAAAGTCTTTGTAAGGGGGTGGTAAAAGATAATGGTAGTCCAAGAAGGTGAAGGGGTCTTGATGGACTAGCAAGGAGGAAGTCATAGTGGCCCAATAAGAGAAAGAAAGGCATGGTAGCCCAAGAAGAATACACGAGGAAGATGGTCGGGCCCAAGTTTAGGGGTAAGGGAGAAAGGATGACCCAAGACTATGGGGTGGTGAAGGAGAAATGATGGCCTAATGAGGTTGATAAAGGAGGAAGGGTGGCCAAATGGGGGGGGGGGGGGGGGGGATAAAAGAGGCATGGCAACCCAATGTTATAGGTAAGCGAAGAATGTTAGCCTGAGGAAATGGGGGGAAGGGGTGAAGGGGGGCGAAAGTGGCCCTAGCCGATTACCGCCTCGCTAATGGAGAAACCCGCCATGCTCCTTTGCCGTGGTGTGGACAGCAAGGGCCAAGTGCCACCCCCTCCGCCTAGCGTGGCCATGTCGCTCCCTAGTAGTGGACTGTGGTGGTAGTAAGGTGTGAATGTACGACATAAGGGAGTGGAGGAGTAGGTATTGAGCTAGATGGGTGGGCATGGCAGCCCAAGGAGGAGTCACAACCAGAACTTGTCGGCTGGTGGGGTAAGTTGACCGGACTCCTTGAGTCGTGGCGTGGTTAGTGGGGGATGAGCACCCCCTGGTGTATGATGTAGCAAAATAGTGATAGTGAGTGTACGCGTGTACAATGTTGTCTTCAGGGAATTGGGGGATATGGTACATAATATGCAAAAACAAGCAACTACACACTAGCACTAGAAAATCAACAAGAAGCTAAGCAATCCATAACGAGGTTAAGGCAACGACAACTAAACAAAAGAACACAAACACATATTAACAAGATATAAATACGAAATAAAGAAATAGGACTCAAACTAGTTAACATTATCTTCTAGATGCTTCAATAACCTATGGGATTAGGGAAAACAAATAACCAATGAATCAAGTGGAATGCACGTAGGTACCTTCGTCTATAGCCACTTCCATGAGCAAATAAACAAGGATTAGAACAATGAATTGTTCCACTCTCGTCATGTATTAATTCTAAGTTCATCAAGCACACAAAGCATCTAAAGCTCACAATTTTTCCTATTTTCATAAGAACAAGTCGGGTTTATGCAAGGGGTGACTCAAATCCTTGACCCAATTCTCATTGTAGCCAAGAATTCTCGAAAACATGTTAATGAATTTGTACATCAAACACTAACAATATATAAATACAACATCCTCATAAACACATGAACCTAGGTTAGAGTCCTACGCATTATGGATTAATCACAAATAAAACTTCAATATAAGCAATACAACCCTAACTCAAGCCCATAAACTAACTACTCATGATTAAACATCATAAAGAACACAAAAGCACAAGTAATAAACATAAATCTGGCAAAAGAAAGAGATAACAAGAATGAAAACTTATCTATTGAAAATAAGAGAATCCAAACTTCAAATTCAATATTACAAACTTCAAGCAATAATACTACTATTTACCTATTCTTATTATGTATTTTCATACTCGGTTTGTGATATATTCGGTCCCGCCAAAACCATTATATATAGTTAAAGATTATTAGAAGAAAATTTAGGACTTGTAAAATTTATATTGAAAAGATTTCTATATTCTAGACGTTTCTTTATAATTGATATTAAATTACATATAATAATTACAAACTTAATGAATTGATATTGTAGTATAATAATGGATAAAATCATGAATTATTATTTTAATGGAAAGTTTCAATTATAAAAAATATTTTTGAAAGTTTATTTTATAAGAAATATATTACATCGTAAGATGTATGATGTGGTAACATGGTAAAATGTACCTTAATTTGATAAATAAATTTAAAATTACGAGACAATCTCAATCAAGTTGGTCAAATTATTGACTTGGTGGTTACAAGGTTACAAGTTTGACTCGAACAGGAGCAACAACCAATTATGATCTAATTGAAAGTTGGGGATAAAAATTGATAAATGTCAATAGTCAAGAGATCACCCTGGAGTGGCAACCAAGTCGGTTGTACAAATTGGCTTGTTGTTAATATGGGCAAATTGAGTTCACAAACTTAATATATTGAGTTTATCATTACTGGAATATGAAGAACCAAACTCTTACATTATTACTCTTAAATTTATTTTTTACTGAATAGATATTTAACTAGAGGACTAAATCTGGAACACCATCAATATTCAAGGGATCATTTATAGTCAAATTGAAAATAAGAAATAAAAATTGATAAAAATCAATAGTCATGAACCATTTAATAATTCAATTAAAAGTCAGAGATAAAAATTGATAAATGATCAGTAGTTAATGAATCATTCTTATAATTAACACTATTATTCATTATAACTCTATTTAATCATAATAATAAATTAATTATAAATTATAAATGTATCGAAATATAGATTGAGAATTACACTGATTTTAATTTTAATTCTAATCCGCACGTTTAGACCAAATGCACTATGTACCAAGGAATTCAATTTTCTCCTTTCAATTAAATGATATACGATATGATGGCGTAATGCACCCGCCATAAATATATTATTACCAAATCTTTAAGTTATAAAAAATAAAAATTGAGATGTTAGTTGAGTGGTCACAAGCATACAAGTTGAACCGTTATATTTTTGTATTTTCTATATACCACCTAATTGATGTGATAGTTTTGTTGATTTACACTGCTTGATAAAAAGAGTTCTGTGTTAGCAAGATTTGTCAATTCATGTATGAAACAATTGTTGACCTATATTTAATTTGAAATAATAAACTGATAAGCTAGATATAATAGTTGATATTACATTATTACAATATTTTGATAATGTGTTTCTATTGACTCTATTAAATTGTACGCCTCCACTATATATATATATATATATATATATATATATAGGTTGAAATAATAGTCAAACTAATATATTTAAGCAAAAAATTAAAATTAAAATTTTAATGTTAAAATAATTAAATCTTCATCAATTTCAATAACAATCGAAATGTCAAATTTAATATTCAAATAGTTTTCATGCAAATAAGAACACAATTACAAAATATAGTAATCAAATATCCAAATACAATACAATCTATCTACAACAACAAAGGATGATGATGATGATGATGATGATGATGATGATGATGATGATGATGATGATGATGATGATGATGATGATGATGATGATGATGATGATGATGATGATGATGATGATGATGATGATGATGATGATGATTATTATTATTATTATTATTATTATTATTATTATAATATTTAAAATTTAGAGGACATGACGAGGATGAGTATCACTGTCCCCGTCCTTGTCCCGACGGGGAATTGAAAACACTCCCCATCCTCGTTGAGCGGGGATTGAAAATCCCCGTTGGGAATGAGAAAAGTTGTCCTTCCTAATCCATTACAAGGACAACTGGACAAGGCAAAAATTTGTGTGTGATATGTGAGACAGTTTGGTTCAAGATAAAAATATAATACTAATCAGGAATAAAGTGTTTGTTACTCATAAAAAATTGTAATACTTCTGATGAAAAATATAATACTTTTACATTAAAAGTATTACATTTTTCATCACTTTCCTTTAAAAGTAACGAACACTTTATCTTAATTAATATTATATTTTTCAGTATAAGTATCACATTAGAGTCAATACAAGGACAAAAAGAGATTAATTCATAGTGAAATGTCATTATATAGAGTAGCTAGTGGATTTACTGAAAAGAATTAAAGTCACGATTTATTCAAATATTATTTTTAAATTTGCAAGATATTGTTAGAATTCATGCATTTTTTATCGCTATAAAGTATTCGGAAAATGCTCTTTTTTTGGGTATGTAATGGTTGCTCTGACCAACTTTCAATCCACTTTAAGATTTTAGAAAATCATAGTACTATTTTTGACCAACCGATCGAAATTTGTCGGTATTTATGACCATTCCCGAAAGTGGTTGAAAATTTTAGTGGGAGTATGCATTTGAATGATTTTGTGAATTGTCGTCTAATGGGAATATACATAGCATATACGCACTTCTTGAGTCCCGTAGTGACTTCATTTAACCCATTTATGATTCTACGCACTTCTTGAGTCCCGAGGTTGGGAGGCAACTCATTTGACCTCTAAGATGTATATTCAACCATCACCTCAGCTCAAGTCAGATCAGAGCCGACATTTGTCGTGGCCAACCTGGTCGACCATTGCCCCATAACCATGTCAGTTGTGTTAACAAAATCCTGACATGTGCCCCTTTCATTTGTGCTATAAAAGCCAGCTTCCAACATCGTTGAAGGGACTCTTGGACCAAAAACCTTAGTTTATTTCTTGACCTTTGTAGAGGCTTCTAACCTGGAGTGTTTATAACTGTAGTGTATTTCATCTATAAATTCAGGATCTAGGGTTTAGAGTTCAATGACGGAAGATATTACTTTACTAATCACTCAAGAACTAAATGCATGACACCTATGATACAAAGATGGACTCTATTGCTACTTATCACTTGTAAAATTTTTTTTTCTGATAAAATTAAAATGGAGCTAATGCCATATGGGGTCCTTCGAGAGTATAGTGATTTTGTTATATTTAGTGTAGACTTTCAAATTGACCATCTGTGGTCTTTCAAATTTCAAATTGTTACTATTTGTGATTTAAGTTAACTGCTCATGATTCTTCAATTTTTAAAATTTAACTTGTTACGATCTTTATGGAAGGACCATGAATGGTTAAAATTTAGAAATTATAGGCATCATTTTCCTTGGGTGAGAGTGCCAAGTGAATGATGGGTCAAGGTGGAGGTGCCGCCCCTTGCCATTTGCAAAGCCGTGTGGCTAGTGGAGGTCCCATGACTATGAGCTCATGAGGGTTGAACAAAAAAGGTAAAAATAGAGAGAGAGAAAAAAGAAAAACCAGCAAAACATTCGCCGCCAAGATCTTAATTTTTTTTTTTAATGGAGTGAGAACTCAAAAAAAGAAAAAAATGCAGGGGACTGGGGACCATTGTTCCGCTCATCTTATCTTAAAGTAAAACAAATTTGATCCCAATCACGAGGAAGAAGACAAACGACTCCCCTCCCCCAACGTCCATCACAGCCAGCCCAATACGTTTTCTGTCAAGTTTCAACAGAAGAAGGTGAAAAAAAGAAATGAAAATGAAAAAGAAAGAAATAAAAAAGAAGATGCCAAGACTTGTAACACTGTGCCCACCACTTCTTGCCCGTCTTTTTCCCCCACTCTTCCAACTTTCCCAACACATTTTTCCTTCTTCCCAAACCCAAATCTTGGATTTTCCTTCACGCATCTCTCCTCCCTCCGGCAGGTTTATAAGTTTATTCACTCTACCCACTCCCATTCTTGCTCAAATTCCAATCTTTTTGCAGTAAATTTCATATTAGGGTTACTTAAATGCGTTAAGCGTGCTTGTTTCTATGATGTGATTGACGGAGCTGCTCAAAGATTTGATTTTTGTTGTAGAAAAATACAAAAATGTCGCCGGAGAAGGCGACCACCGTGGTGGATGAAGGAGTGGAGTACTCCTTTGCTATGGAGTACCATGGCCCACCCATTGCCCATGAGCTCCCTCGAGCTGTACCCATCAATGTGGATAGGATTCCAGTTGCGGCCGTGGTTTCCCAGATGCCCTTATCTCGTAAATTCTCATTGCCCATCGTTCAGCCCATTTCCGTTAACGATGTAGCCAAAGGGTTCTCGAAAGAGCTGAAGCGAAGCTCCAATTCCACTGTTTCCCCGACCTCGGTGATTGCGTTTGACCGGCAAAGTGGGTGCGAGGACGAGTCCGCTAGCAAAGAGCTAGAAGAAGAAGCTTTAGGGTCTGAGACTACTCTCTCTCCCAGTTCGGTTAGCGGTATTGACGAGAGCGCGCCCAGTAATAGCGGTTGTATTCCGTACGGTGAATCTAGTAGTTCGGAGCGGATGAATGATGATGAGGGAGGCGGTGAATTTTCCGGCGCCATTAATGAATCCACCGACCTTGCATCTCCCTCTGTTGGCCATGACAGGGTGGGGAGTTCGGGTAATTTTAGGTTTTCAAGCAGCTTCGAGATGTCTAGGGAATTTTCAAGAAGTTCGCAGACTTTAAGGTTTCCAGGTTCCTGTAATGGTGTGAATGAGCCAGATTGGGCTTCAAATGAATCAGTGTTGAGCTTCGATTATCCGTCTTCTCGGGTTTCGTCTCATAAATTTGGGGATACTAACAATGAACAAGGCTATGAGGTGAAGAGAGCTCCAGTTGTTACTTTCTGTGATATTGAATCAGAAGACGAAGATGTTCTTCATGAGGAATTCGTTGGTGCTGAACCAGAGGTGATAAGGCCTAAGAGAGAACCTCCAGTGAAGGTCAAGAAAGGAGTATGCTATAGGTGCACTAAGGGAAATAGGTTTACCGAGAAGGAGGTGTGTATTGTGTGCGACGCAAAGTATTGCAGTAGTTGTGTGCTTAGAGCGATGGGGTCTATGCCCGAGGGAAGGAAGTGTGTGTCGTGCATTGGGTATCCGATTGATGAGTCGAAGCGAGGGAATTTGGGTAAATGCTCCCGAATGCTCAAACGTCTGCTTAACGACTTGGAGATTCAGCAGATTATGAAGGCCGAGAAGTTGTGTGAGGTCAATCAATTGCCACCGGAGTATGTGTGTGTGAATGGAAGGCCTCTCCGTCACGAGGAGCTCGATATATTGCAGAGCTCTGCAAATCCACCAAAGAAACTTAAACCCGGAAACTATTGGTATGACAAAGTATCCGGTCTTTGGGGAAAGGTGAATGCTTTCGCCTATTTTCTTCATAAAGCTGACAATTTTAATCCAAAACCGTAATCTTGATTCTTGATTCTTGAATGTTTGTTTGTACTGACTGTTGAGTTTACAGGATGGGCAGAAACCTTCACAGATTATTAGCCCCCATCTAAGTGTTGGGGGTCCTATCAAGGTGAATGCTAGCAACGGGAACACTCAAGTTTATATAAATGGTCGCGAGATTACAAAAGTGGAATTACGAATGTTACAGGTTAGTCTCTTTCTCTTGACAGGCAACTATTAGATCGAAAATTGTTCCATACATTTATGATTGAATCCTTATACTTTAATTATTATAGTTAGCGGGAGTCCAGTGTGCTGGCAACCCGCATTTTTGGGTGAACGATGATGGTTCTTACCAAGAGGAGGGACAGAAAAATACGAAAGGTTATATATGGGGCAAGGTAGGATTTCTATGCTGATATTATCCTTTCCGGTGTTTTTCTACTAAAACTTTTATCTCTGATAGTATCCTATTCGCTCTATGTGACATCTTAGGCGGGAATGAAGCTGGTCTGTGCAGTGCTCTCACTTCCAGTCCCTTCAAAGTCGTCTTCTGTTTCTGGGGAGCAAATAACGGATGTGCTTAGTCGATCTGTCCCGGCTTACTTGGAGCAAAGGGCGCTTCAAAAACTACTTCTCATTGGATATAGTGGGTCTGGTACGAGCACTGTATTTAAGCAGGTAGTTTCCTAATCATTGGACCTGTCTTTGACGGTTTAGCTGTTTATTTGCTGCTCAATTTTACGTCACTTCAAGACACTGAAGCAACCAGCGTAATTGGCATTTTAATTTCTTGTTTAATTAGGCAAAGATTCTTTACAAGGATGTACCTTTTACGGAGGATGAGTGCCAACATATTAAATCAGTGATTCAGAGTAATGTATATAGCTACCTTGCCATACTTCTCGAGGGGCGTGAGCGTTTTGAAGAAGAATGTTTGAATGGGCTATCAAAAAATCGGGCTTTTAATGAATCTGGACAAACAGGTGACTTTTTTCTCCTATGTAAGAGTTAGTTTTTTTTTCCGTGTAAGTTGGTGTTTTGAGGCAAATTGAAGCATGTTCCATCTAACTAAAAGCCTAAGCTTATAGTTGCATTGCACATTTATGTTTATATATTATATATGCTCAACAATGCTTACTTTATTTGTATCTGCGAAACGGAAAGGGTTCATTTTGTACTTTTGGTTGAAACTTCTAAATGCGGTTTTCGAATTTTCCCTTTGAGGGTAAACATGGAAGTTAGAGTTTAAAATACCCTTCCCGAAACTATGCTTATCTCATAGACTTGCATTCAGCTCGGACTCCTCTGAGTACATGAAATGATTTCCTGCACCATACCGATAAGTTTTGTTTATTTTATTTATATATGGTTAACAATAGGGCGAAGTGATGGAAATGATAAGAAGACTTTGTATTCCATTCCTCCAAGGCTGAAAGCGTTCTCTGATTGGCTTCTCAAGATTATGGCTTCGGGTAACTTGGAAGCTGTCTTTCCAGCAGCCACACGGGAATATGCTCCATTAATTGAAGAGTTGTGGAGTGATGCTGCCATCCAGGCTACGTATAAACGGAGAAGTGAATTGGAAATGCTTCCCGATGTTGCTAATTATTTCCTCGAGCGGGTAAGATAATGGCTATGGGCAAGATTCACTTGTTAAATGATGTTCAATGTTATTTTATATTCATGATATTCTTCTTCCCGAAAAGTTGAATCCCCAACCCCAAGGGCCCCACACACCTCGGTCCGACAGAGCATGTAAATCACGGTAACTTAGTGGCTAGCAGATAGGGCCAGCCAGTGCGCACAAGGGATCTGTTCACTTTGGGCATATTCATTATATTCTTGCCAAGACTCTAACCTAGGAGGTTTTAGATTCAATCCCTTAGATGCCCTTAGATGTAACACAAAAAGAATTCATGATTTCTCTTTTTTTTCAGGCTGTTGATATTTTGAAAGTGGATTACGAACCTTCAGATGTTGATATATTATATGCGGAGGGTGTTACATCTTCCAACGGGCTCTCATGCATGGACTTCTCTTTCCCGGAGGTTGCAAATGACGATACGTTTGAGAGTTGTAATCAGCCCGATTCTCTGCTCAGGTTTGTACCACTTCTAATAATGTTTTCCCAGATATATTAGACCCTAATAATAACGTTTTACTTTTACTTTCGCCCAGATTTCAACTGATCAGAGTACAGGCAAGAGGGTTCGGGGAAAACTGCAAGTGGTTCGAGATGTTTGAGGACGTGCGGATAGTCATTTTCTGCGTTTCGTTGAGTGATTACGACCAGTGTGGTGTCGATGAGACGGGGGAGTTGGTGAACAAGATGCTGTTGAGCAAAAGATTTTTCGAGGGAATTGTTAGTCACCCGACATTCGAGCATATGGATTTCCTACTACTACTAAACAAGTTTGACGTGTTTGAGGAGAAGGTGGAACGCGTTCCTTTAACCGAATGCGAATGGTTCGACGATTTCCATCCGGTGATAAGCCGCCATCGCTCCACCAGCAGCAGCAGCAGCAGCAACATTAACCATAGCCCGTCCCTGGGCCACCTCGCATTCCATTACATTGCAGTCAAATTCAAGAGGCTCTATTCGGCTCTCACCGACCGAAAACTCTACGTTTCTCTGGTTCGAGGCTTGGACCCGAAGAGCGTTGATGAATCGCTGAAATATGCGAGGGAGATACTAAAGTGGGACGAAGAGAAACCCAACTTCAGCGTGAGTGAGTACTCGTTTTACAGCACCGACGCAAGCTCCTTCTCACATTAACGACGGGTCTTCTTCAAAGGGTTAGTTCAACATTCTATCATTGTACATACACACATATATATATTCAGAGGTCTTTAAAGTAGATGAAAAGGAAAAGAAAGGATTGAATGAAAGGACCTTCTTTGTAGATTGTAATTATCTTGAAACAGCTTGCCAAAACTGAAGATATTCTAACACAGTTTTGTTCAATCAATTGAAGCATATGCTCCATCTCAACTAAATGCCTAAGTTGGTAGTTCTGTGGTCTGGCTCTGATACCAAATTGAAGCATGTGCTCCATCTCAACTAAAAGCTTAAGCTGGTAGTTGAATTGCACATTAATAGCTCAACACAATCTAATCCTTCATTTATCAACTCAAAGACAGGGTAATACAATCCTAGTAAAGTTGATCAGACTGTTGTAACTACAATGTTATAAGTTTGATTCTCAGTCGTGAACATAACTGGTCTTTCATCAGCCTCCACCCAACATACTTATTGTCTTGAATGGCGGCCCAACGGTCGTCCTCTTGCTCGTTTCTCCAAATGGAATTGAAGTTGATGATGGCCGCCATGACTTCCGACCAGCTCAAACGTACAGACATATCCTTTGGACAACCTGTTGGCTATCCGGAAATCGGCCCATCTGCCGCCACACATAACAAACTCGCCGTCTTGTTTGCTTATTTTGATCTCCCATTTCTCTCCTCGTGCATCCAGGAGCGTTATATTTCTCTTCCCTGCAATCCCCGTTTCTTCCACGAAGCCTTTCGGTATTATCTATGTTGATAAAAAGGCAGATGAGATTAGAGTTTAGAAGGTTAAAGAACACAGAAAAATGGAGTTTTGTACTCAAGAAACACTCACCATTTCCTCATCAGTGGATGCTGAAAGGATGGTGACGAAGCTTGGATTGGTTGTGGTCTTGGAAGGGCCAATCGATATCTGAGATTTATCATCCTCTGTCTCGCTTTCTTTCTTCACACTCATAGTCTGACCAAGATTGCTTGAATTTTCACCTGTTAAATTCATGGTTAAACCGGAATTAACAACAAATCAACAGTCTTTAAGGTAAGATGATAAGATTTCTGGGAAAAAAAACCACCTGAAAATCCAGGGAAGAAGCGTGAAGATGATAGGCTTTTGTCGCAGCAAGTGCGATCATAGAGTTGAACATGGAAAGTAGAGTAATTATCCATCAACCAGAAAACAACAAAATTCCCAATTTCTAACTGGTTATCATTCACAAAAACAGACCAACCATCTGCAAACAAGTAACGATTGCTGCTTTTTTTAAGCTTCACAGTCCATGATTTCCAAGAACCAGCCATGGCGAGTGAGGGCGTGGACGACAGCTTCTCCCCAAAAATCTTGCCAAACAAAGGTGGTAAACGCTGTAATCAACACCAAATTAAAAACACATTAAACCCACTATACTTAATTAACAAGTAACAATGCATCAACAATAATCACGAACTGAAAAACTTACTAGAACCGATGCAAAGTCGCTAGCCGATAAGATCTTGAAAAAGGAAGGATTTTCGTTCTGCATATTGAAGTTGGACATAGCTCAGCATGAATCACCCAAGTTTCTATGAGAATTGAGAAATGGGTTTTGGCTACGAGGGAGAAATGTTGAAGATAATATCAAATTTGTGTGAGTTTAAGTCCATTGCTTTCACTCTTTCTGTCAAAGAGACAGGGTTTTTTGGGAATTGAGGATAGCAAATATGAGGATACCAATGCATGCACTGGATTCATAGCTTGTTTTGGCGAGAAAGTTAAGTTGCTCTGGATTTTTGGGAGGTTGGACAAGAAAATACAATACTCCAGTGTTCTTTTACCCTTTTTGCAGAAAAAAAAAGAGAGAGAGAGAGAAAATGTCAGTTGCTTTGTATTGTCATTTTTCACATCCTCTTCTTCCTCCACTGAGATTTTAATCAGACTTAGCTCAGATCATTTTGATGAAGTCGGAGGATTTTAGTCCCAAACCCGGCAACTCCTTGTCCGTGACGGTGACGGACGGAAGCCCGGAACTGACTCTGATACTCTTCTTACCGGTGATCGGGTCGACGTTGCTCGGAGGCGTGATGGCCGAGGTGCAGAAGCAGGCGGATGAAGATGGTGGTGACAGCCGTTTGATATTCTAAAATTTATATTATTAAAACACCATTTTGGTGTAAACAATTAGTGTTTCCTTTTAAAAATTTATTTTATTAAAAATAAATTATAAAAATTTAAAGATTTACGTTTAAAATCAGATCAATATTAATTATAGTAAATAGATTAAAGATTAAATAAAATCTGGTACATAATTTGGGATAAATGGGATTGAGATGAAAAAATTTGGGTGCAAGAATATACTGAGAATTTTATTTTGATGTAAAATTTAGTAAAAAATTTAATGTTTTGAGTTGAAGATGGCCAAACACCATGTTGTCGAGTCATTTGACAATTGATATCCCACCCAAGTTTTTTTATCTTTTTCTTTGGGGGGGGGGGAGGGGGGGGGGATACATTGGAAAATTATCTTTTTGAGGTTTTGGCCTTTTGGGTCTTTCAATGACTCCATATCTTTTGTGAGAATTGAACTTTCAACCTATATCTTTAGTGAAAATCGAATTCTCACCCTATTGTTGAAACAAGACTTTCAGAGGGACCTTTGAATCCTTAAATCATTGATTTTTTTTTTTTTTGACACATCAACCTTTTCCAACTAATTCCTAATTTGAAAATTCTTTAACTTTGTTCTCTTCCTTTTAGGGCATCTCCAATGAATGGAGAAAAAAGTGGAGAAAGAGTGAGAGATAGGGAGATAATGATTGGAGAGGAGAGAATATATATGCTCCGAAGAGAATATTCTTCTGGAGCATGTGAGCTAGAGCACAAGGCACGTGGGTAGCAAACGACAATGAAAAGGCGTGTACTATCCATGTGTCGGTGTGAAACAGTTGTTCCCCACCCTGTATTTTATTAAATAAAAAGAAAAAGAAAATGAAGAACAGTCATGACGGCCAACCATGGAGATGGTCCCTTTCGTCTCCATGGCTAACCAGAGACGAAGGAGTTCATCTCCGGCCCGGCCATGGAGACGAAGGGGCTAACCGGAGACGAAGGAGTTCATCTCCGGCACGGCCATGGAGACGATCCCCTTCGTCTCCATGGCGGCCAGAGACGAAGGGGACCCTTTGTCTCCATGGTTGGCTGGCCGGAGACAAATGGTCCCCTTCATCTTCGGCAAGTCAACTGTTTTTTTTTATATATATATTTAAAATAATTATTTTATTTATAATTTTAAAAATTATTTTTAAATAAATATGTTAGCCACTAACAAATAAACAAGTCATTTTAGATTAAATTACATAAATTTATATTGTTCAAGAATCCAATTGTAATTTTTTTTTTTAGTTCAATGACTTAATTGTATTTTGGTGTGTAGTTAGATGACTTAATTGACCCTTATTCCTTTATTTTCCAAGAAACGAGTGCCATGACTCCTGATATCCAATAATTATAACTAAGGGGGGTGTATTCAATCATGACTTTTGTAGAGTTTTAAAGACTTTTAAAAATGATAGATTTTAATAAACTTTGATTGACTTTCATAGAGTCATTCAAAACTTTTTAAAACTTTATAAGACTCTATAAAAATCTATATAAAAAACATTCATAGACTTTTATCAACTTTTTATTTTAAAAAGTCTACAAAAGTCATTGAAACTCTAAATTGAATACATCCTTACAAACTTCCAATGATTTTGATTAATAAACTTCCAATGATTTTTATCATTTATAATTTTCTTACAAAACATTTATAATATATCATAAAATTCTTCTTATTATATAGTTCTTCACCCACATCAACATTCTCAACATTATTATTTTTATCCATAGTATGCTGATATATATATATATATATATATAAACATCAACAAAAAAAAAAAACTATTTCATTAGAAATTCATAACAATATTGAACAATAAAATTTATAATAAAAGAATTGATCAAATAAAATATTTAAAAATATAATTATAAGTTGCATAAAAAATTTTTATATTAATAATATATATAAAAAATTATACTTGATTTATGGCTAGGCATCACGCAAAAAACTATTATTTGCAATAGCAATTTGAGACTACGAACAACAACAAGGTGCTAATGTTTGCAACCCCAAATTGTTGTTACGAACAGTAGTTCGCTATTCGTAGTAACCTGTTTTTTTTTTTAAAAAAAAAGGAAAAATATATGTTACGAATATAAACATAAAAAGAATAAAATTCAAAATATATATGTATTTATATGAATATTATGAAACATATACTAAAACTTGACGATGAAAAATTTGCTTTGTTCATGTATTTAGGGAGAAATAGATAAAGTTAGGGATAAAAAAAAATCATAGAAAAAATAAAAATCAATATAAAAAAGCAATAATCAAGTAAAAATAATATTATTTTGAATTTTAGAGGAAGATTGTAAACTTTATGAGATAGAGAAAAATCGGTAGAATTTAGGTATGAGGAAAATATAGGATAATGAAGAAAAAAATAATTTTATTAAATTTAGGTAGGTTTATAAAGTTTAAATAGGGAAAAAAAAAATAGAGTTTAAATAGAGAGATAAAACATTCAAAGTTGTTACAAAGAAAATTTTGAAATCTTGGGGTGGATGGCTGGATTTCAACTATTTATATTTGAGAAGGAAAAGTCTACAAAAGTCCTAAAATTAAAAAGTCCACAAAAGTTCATAACTTTTTGAATACCACATCTTTTAAAGAGTTTAAAAGTCTTAATTGAATACCACACGACTTTTAAAGACTCTTTAAAAATCTTGATTGAATACCGCATGACTTTTAAAAACTCTCTAAAAGTTTGAATTAAATACCTCCAAACTTTTAAAGTTCATAAAAGTCTTTAAAACTCTATGAAAGTCATGATTGAATACACCCACCTAAAATTCTTTCAATGCCAATTGCTTTATTTACAACACACAAGACATGAACCACATCCTTGTAGACTCTTTAAAGGCACAATTTATACGTCGTTTAGGACCAAGATCCACCTGATCCATGGTATAACAACTCACTCTGGTCCATGGTATAACAATTGATCCAACGGGACCACAAGCCATGGGGCTTTAGTATCTTCTTTTGCATTTTCACTAAATTAGAGCAGTGGTTTGTTGTTCTTGATTGAGGTGAAGAAACACACACACACACGAGAGAGGAAAGAAAAAAAGGTGAATCATCATATAAAGTTATGATGCCTAAAATAGGAAGGGCGATAAAAGCAAAAGCAAGCCAGAAGGGTGAAATACTACTAGCAGGAACTAACAGATCATCATAATTGGATTGTATAAAAGCAAGCAAAATGTGTGATTTTATACACCAGAAACTGCAAACAGTATGGTAAAAAAGCAAAAACCATAGATATATGAGGAAATTGGGTGGATTTATACCTGCTTTAGTCATCATTTCATTGCTACCTAAAATAATACAAGATTCTAACCGCAATTCCACAGCAATATCAAAAAGGGTAAAAATGAAAACGCATGAGCAATTTAAACCATGAATCAACAAACAAATTATCCCACAAGCATCAAGGGGGTGGGGAGGGGGCAAAAGAATCCAATTTGAATCTTTCATACTCTCTATGGCACCTGAAATTTCAAGCATTGGTCTCTTCTGCGACAGTTGGGAGGCCACCATCTTTGATAAAATCTGGGTTGAGAAACTTAGCCACGAATGCCCACAATTTGTATACGTCTTCAAAATTTGTGAGGAAGCCGAGTGAGGCGGTGATCACCTCGACTCTAATAAATCCACTTCGACTGTCCTGTCTACCATTTTCCATCGGTTTGCAAAGGGAGGTGTCTTCGAGATTCGAAGTTCCACGCTGCTGTTTCGGGCTATCTAAAATTCGAATATGACTGAGGATGCCAATGCCGAGATAGATACCATGCAACTCCGCCAGCTTCTGGATAATTTCTGGCTTAATAAGACCCTTATTTCTGTCTCTCACGTTGAAAGCCACTGCTGCACCTCTTTCGTATTTGATTTTGGGCCCATAAATGTAAACAAGAGGTAGACTTTCCTCGCCATTTGAACCGGGCAATCTTAGTTGCAACAAGGAGGTCACGAGCCAATTAATCAGAAAACGTAGCCGAAGGGTAGTCTTGTTGAGGCCTAGCATGTTTATATGATCAAGATGCTTGCATATTATCTCGGGTTCTCTCCTGTCTGACTCTTGCCCGTCATAATCTCCGTCGCTTATGTACTCATCATCGTCTAGACTTGTGGCTGACAATTCCCCAGGTTCTAGTGCATAGCCTAGATGAACTTTACGGTGTTCTTCTGTACTAAACGATACCCTTCTTCCCCTGCTAACATGCTGGTCACTCTCTTCTATACCAAAAAATCTACCACCGTTATATCTGTCCCTTCCCCTCCTTTCCAATAATCTGAACTCACCCTCGGTCTCTCGTCTTATAGCGCTCTCTTTAACCTCGTGACATATTGCAGATGTTGAACCATTCTCGAGGCGACTAAACTGAGAAGTAGAAGTCATATTGTTAAGGTTATATCCCTTTGACATCAAATTTCCTTTACTGGTTTCTGCTTCTTCCTCAATCTCACAAAGATGCTCGGTTCTTCCAGTGAACTGCTCTTCTTCGGGAATGTCGTGAAAATGGTCTAATTCTTGGGACACCGAGCGAACAGCAGCGTCAAACGAAAGCACGTGGTGGTCGTCATGGCACCCGGCATTCGCCTCCTTGTCGTACATTGGGCTGTTAGACATCTTTGGAGGCTTTGGCGAAAGGCGCTTGTTGTTATTCTTTCGGCCAGCAAACCAAAATGGCGGTATGGGAGAAGCCGTTTTTTCTTTGTTAGATTGTCCCGCACAGTCGGACCCCAATGGGCTTTGACCCAAATCTATCCACAATGAATTATCAGACGATTCATCTTCACTAAAGACTGGACTTCTCATTACCTCCCCGACAGATATGCTTTCGGTTTCTTCAAATATCGTGCTTGCTCCATCCCTATCCGAGCTGTTCTCGTGATCCATCTCTGTTTCAAATACGTCCCTCACCTGGGCAGAAGTGA